CGTCTCTCGAGTGCTTACCTCGAAGGTATCAGAGGCATAAAACGGCGGATACGACACGATCGCGCGCGCGCGTATTGCGATTTCCTATCGGAATTTATATTCCATCGCTCCGATACCACCTTTCACACGATATATATCTTGTGGCCTGTTCCATGTAGCGTACGAATATATCCACGTGGAGAAAGTCCTGAAAGAGTTATGCTCCTCATTCAACCTTAATATGTATGTAACTTTACTGCGACGCAGTAGACTTACTAGCGGAAATCCGAGCGTCTCGACCGTATAGAAAAATCGCCGTTCCTTCTCTCGGAATATTATCCTTCTTTTCCCTTCGTGCGATCTACATATCAATATATTTTTATATACCAATATTTTTCCATATATTTTGCTTTTCTCTATTATCCAATTTTAAAATATAAATGTTATAATATGCAAATTTATCGAGACAATAATTTAAACACATTTTTAATATTATTCGCATAATTACCATTTACTCTGTCTTAGATATTTGCTAGCGCGTTGACGGCACATTAATCGCTCGAGTATGTTGGAAAGGAGAGGAGAAAGGAGATAAGCAACCTGCTACCTGACTTGCGTCGCTACTAGTTTTGTGTAGACCTGTCGTGAGATCTTATTCATGATTTGAGAGACGCATCCTGCCGGAAAAAGGAGAGGAGATGGAAAGAATGGGCGAGACACAAAGCGAACGTGCGCAACGGGAGCGGAGAAAATAACGGGCTCACACAGCTGCTAAATATTCAATAAACGTGAGCATTACACGTCGCTGCACGCCTACGCCAAAGATAGATTATGAAGAAGGCGTAGACGAGGGGGCGAGAGAATATCAAAAGCGGATGAAGAGAGGAAGGATCGCCATTCATTCTACTTGATCGAGATTCTTGTTCAATAGCGTGTACAGAATGCCTTCTCTAGGACACTCGGAAGCTACGTCGTCGATATTGCTGGCTTGCCGATAATTCGATGAATCCATTTGTACGTCGGTTTCAAAACAAGATACCTCTCAAACCTCTCGCGAATGACGAATCGAAAAATTATTTTAAAGATAACAATAAAAAAAAATATGCAACTTCTTTACAAGATTTATATGTATATATAACTGATTAAAAGATTGCCAGCTCTCGCTAAGCATTTTATTTCGAACCGACGTGTCCTATAATTAAGAGATTGAATCTCGTTGCCGATCGATTAACGCGTTTCTTCTTTTGCCTTCGCACGAGCCTCGACTTTAAATTACTCGATTGAACACCATCTTTCTCTCGTCGTCCAAAAAAAAGAGAAGCAGGGACCGCTTCGAAGGAGGATGAAATCAACGTTTCGCGGTGATTGTCGTCAACGAATGCACACATGCGAGAAAATAAAAAATTCAAATCGGCCGTTCGGTAGGATGAATATGGATACAATGCAAAAGGAACTTGATTACATAATCTTTGTAATGCAGATTTTCGAAATGAATCTTTACTCAAGAATAACACGTAGAGTTTGACGCTAGTCTGTATGCGAAACAAAAAACAAAAAATCTTATTTGATTTGATTCGTGCAACGTGGAAAGAAATAAAAAAATTTCACGATTCACTCCGAGTGCTTCTCGAAAACATGGTAATCTCAATAGTTCCCGATAATAGTTGTGCGAATCTGGTTGTTTTTTTCTTTTCATTGCGCAAGACTTTGCGCAAAAAGCAACACCGGGAACCTCGGTCGGGCTATTTGCATGTTATTACCTTGTTTACATATTTATTCAATAGCCAAGATCCCGGAGGGTCGCAAACACCCCGTAATCGGAGCTTTCTCCTCATTCGGCCCTTTAATTTCGGATTAAAGCCTGCGAGCGTGCCAATTGAACGATCAATAAATCACCGCAAACCTATATCGATCATAACGATATAGTTCCTAGTTTCGACGATACCTTGAATAATATAAGCAGAATTAAATCCCTTACCTGTTTGTGCATCTCCACATTAAGCCCGTACGACATCTCGTAATACTGCAAAAGTAAACGAAACAAAGAGATTAGAACATAATTGCACAAGTTATGTCGATATTACACATAATTAGTATAAGCATAATTGTGTAGCTGAATACATTGTTATATGCGTTTCGTTAAAGCGACGTCGACGTTAAGCGTAAGGTGATGCGTGCATAAACTGCGTAACGCGGTCTTTTCATGCAAAAGCTGAACTTTGCCGGAAGGTTGCTCGCACGGAACCCATTTCACGCATTTACATTACAGCTTTGTCATCTTATCCTTTCTAAACACGATTGTACGCGTATTTGCCGTTAATCAGAAAGCTAAGGAACAACATTCGAATAAATTTGCGCCACGAATGCAATGCCACAGATACACGTAGCGCCACTATGCGTATAGCAAAATGATAAATATTATTTTTGTCTATTATTTTAATGATAAAATAATTTATTAACGTTTTATTCAGCACGTAATAGCTATATTCGTAACGCGCGATTCGAGTACAAATAATAATCAAAATTAGCGTATAAATATCGCATAATATAAAAAAAGGCAAAGCTACTTTCCGTATGATTAATCGGATTATCGAGTTTCGTATACCAAGATGTTGCTTGAATCCATAATGACGGCCGCGGGAAGAACGCCTCGCTGAGGATCCTTTAAGAGCCCCTTCGCGATTGCAGGGTTGAGATTATATCGATCAAATGAGATTACGAGATTACGAAAAGCGGACCAAATTGAGCCGTAATGCGAGACCGCAGCCAGTCGGTAAGAGGGATAAGCGCGTCGAGAGAAAATGAGAAAAAGGAAGACGAGAAAGGAGCAGCAGCTCTCTCGCCGCCTTCTCCTCTGTCATGAGAGAAAGAGAGAAAAGACTCGTGTGTGCGCGCGCGCAGAGTATACGTGTGCGCGTGTGAGTGTCGAGCAAAGACCGGTTTCTCGTAACATCGTTTCTACATCGTGTGTACAAGACTCAGCCGGGGCTGGCTTTAACTAATTCGCTCACCGTGCAGCGGTTCTCATTTCGCACGCATGAGATTTCCGATCGTAAAGATTCGCGATGGGAATAACGTTCACGCGTACTTAGCGATACCAAGTTATTGTCGGTTCACCCTTCGCGAGCGCGTCG